AGTGAAAATTATGTATTTAGAAAAACACGATTGAAAAAACCTAGGTTGCATGGAATCAGAAGCGGGTACGCGGAAGCGAAGCGTTTGGAAACATGGAAGCGATTTTTATAGAAATTATAGAAAATGGGTACGTGTTGGAAGCGTATATAAAAATTAATATATATATATATACATATATAATAAACATTAAACATTATATCATATAAAAAATTATAATTAACATACAAATCTAATACATAAATTCTAAATATCTCTCTATATTTAAAAATCAAATAGTGTACGTTTACAATAGAGAAAAGTCAAAAATTTAAGATCATTCTTCATTCTCATTTTATTAATTCCATCAAATAAAATTGTTTTAATTTTTTTTTACCAATAAAAACATCATCAAACTCAAATTTCTCGAAATTAATTTAATTCAATTAATCATTTCAACATCTCCCTAATAAATGATCCATGCTTCTATCATTTTTCTAACTATGATATTTTAAAAAATAAAATACAAAATTAGTATGCAAAATTAGTTTTGGTTTTTCTTTTGTTGTATAAAAAACTATCAAAAATAATTTCATATTTCTTATTTATTTTGTGACATCAAATTTTTTTAAATGGAATCGCAAGCTTCCAAAATAGAATCGTAAGCTTCCAAGGAGCTTCCAAAATGAATTTTTTAGAAGCGTTATGGAAGCGAGATTCTGAAAGCTTCCGAGAGCTTCCGATTCCGACTAAGATTCCGAAGCGGGAAGCGGACATCCGACGAAGCTTCCGTGCTTCCTAGGAAAAAACCATGATGACATGCTTTGATGTATTATACATATTGGGTTTTTTTTTTGTCGTCTATAGGCAATGATATTTATACATACAATTAGATTGTAAATTAAGGCCATAACTCAAATACAATTGGTTCTACTAGGTAGGACCGTAGGAGTAGGACGATATTTTTTCAGTTTTATTATACTCTAGTTGATACATGCACAAAAAGAAACTATTTTATGCAATTTTAAAAATTATTCTGATAAGTATCACTGTAACATGAAGATACGTGTTAAACCTAAACCCCATGATTCGTCGGTGTAAGGACTTAGGAAAAGAAAAAAGAAAGAGAAGTCACATGAGGAGAGTGGAGCAATGTATGTACACCACCGTCAATGGCTCACAACTAATATCAGTAATGACAAAACGTGAGTGCACATGAACCTTATAAAGTGAGAGTACGAAGAATAAGTCAAAACATTGTCGCACTGTACGAGAAGAAGTCGGCGGATTTAAGACCACCCACGAGGCCACGAGCTTGCCATATCTTTTCGCATTTACATACATACAGCTAAACGCGTTCTATCAAAATTAAAAATTTTAAAATGGATTTGTTTTTTCATTCACAAAATTGTAATATTTAGTCCTTTCAGATTATTTTTATTCAAATAAAATAATTTCTAATATATACATCAATCTACCAAACTAATAGTTATTCTTAAAACCATGACAATAAACTCTATAAGCGTAATTTGTAATTACCATACGAAGTAGATAGACGTAATAATCAAATAAAAGCTTTTTTATTACACTGGCGTCTGGCGAGATGCATAATGCTTTTATTACAAGGAATCTTACATAAAAACAAACAATCCCTTACTACAATAGGCATGCGATATATATGAGCATATATATGCTCATTTTATTGTTCCTTTATCACAAGAATTATTGATTTTATCACAATAATAAAAGAAAATTTCACCAACTTTTAAAATCTATATACTTCCAATAAAAAAATAATGGTTTTTGAAAGCTTTCTTTTTTTTTTATTTTTTATTTTATTTTCACCCACTAGAAGATATTCAATCCGAAAAGACCCTACCTTTTGAAAACCTATAACTGCAGCAACCAAGAGCATGTTTTATCAGTACGTCCATTCCTGTGGCAAATCCGCCGGTGGTTCTTGGTGGCTCTCGGCCGACATCTCCATTACGTACGGTGATCCACTTTGTGCCCGAGACGATGAAGTAATTTTGTTACCTTTGTTGTTTTTGTTCTTCATGGACACCAACAAAGCATCTATATATATAGTAAAACATTACAAGAATCATATATCAAAGGATACACTAAAAAACCTTCTCTGTAAAAAACTATAACCTCTAAACCCAAAATCTTAAACTCCTAACTCCGAAAACTTTTAAGTTTGTAACTCGACCAAACAAAATTGGATATTTCCGTTAATTTTTTGAAATCGTTAGCCTATAAATATTATGTTTCTTAATACTTATTTTTCTGTCAGCCATCCCTTATTTATTTATATATATATATATCTATAACTATTCTTGTAAATCATAACTGTACTCAAAAGATTAAACTCAAGAAATTAAATAGGGAAAGAGATAGGTGGGGTTGGTACCATGAAAAGGAGGGATTATCAGAAGAGAATGTAGAAGGAACACCCAATTTGTCAAAGTGAACTTTCAAGGCTTCAACTACTCTTGCTGGTATTATTACTGTTGAACATCCTGCAACCAATGTATGTCATACACAAAAGTCAAAACCAAAACTACATCTAACCAAACTTAAACCGGTTTGGTAATTTAAGAGTAACCACTCAGAAAACTGTTTGGTTGAGACATCAGTTTCATCTAACGACAAGAAATTTGAATACAAACAGTACAATAAATAGTAAATTGTCACCACCACCCACCAATATCTAAGCCACTTCAAATCATATGACGAAAAAAACAATAATGTTTTAAAAAATTGGTAGTTGATATTTAGTTGACAAGCTCACCGACTCCTAGATTGGGTAACGGTTAAGAGTTGAAAAATGAAATTGTTGTATAATTTGTTTTTGTTGAAAGAACATCAATAAACCTGGTTAGTATTACATGTGGGAATGAGATTTTTGAGTATCTATCTAATACCGGACTCGAATATATATAATACTATATTTAGAAAGAAACAAAGTTTTACACTATGTGGTTTGGTTATATAGCCTTGGCCCTTGGGTAACTGTCAATGATAGAACGGTGACAAAAGAAAGAATCACAAAATGAAATAAATATCTAGGTTATCTTAGATTATAATCCACTTATTGAATGAAACTAGTGGGGTCATATAAGAAAAATAAATGATTTAGATTGATTTCTAAACCTAAATGGGAAAAATGTCATTTAATCCCCCAACTTTCAAAAAGTGGCCATTTGAGACATCAACTTCATATGTGGCCATTTAAAACATGAATTAAACGTTGACTAACGTTTGATACATGAAAATTCGTTGACCAGACCAAAATAGACATGCTGTTATCAGTCGCTAACGGAACCTCTAACGGCCGTTATCACCCCTAACGACTCTGTTAGTCAACTTTCAAATTGTGGCCATTTTAAATATCAACTTCATATGTGGCCATTTAAAACATGAACTAAAAGTTGACTAACGTTTGACACATGAAAATTCGTTGACCAGGCCAAAATAGACATGCTGTCATCAGTCGCTAAAAGAACCTATAACATCCGTTAACGGCTCTGTTAGTATGCCCGAAACGATTTTGTTTTATGGATAATCGAGAAGGAAATCGGGATTTTTTCCAAATGAAAACCCCAAATCCTCAAATCTATTTCTACAATAGTCCAAGCAAGACGAACAATCCTATTATCTCCATCTCTTTCAACTGCAGCTAGAAAGTGACCTTTTATTTCCTAATTCGGAAAAGCTTCATTTAGCCCTATGATGGGTCTACAAGTTTGCTTCCATGATTTTTTTAAGATTAAAAACAGATATATAAACGAAAAACCTATGTTTGCTTCCAATTACTGGCTCTGTGATTGTCTCTATATCAAACTATGTTCTTGGATTCAGCTTTAAAACAAACTTTTTGATTTGGAGATTTCATTTGGGAAAAATCATGATTTCTTCTCGAGTATCCTCAAAACGACGTCGTTTTGGGTATGCTAACAGAGTCGTTAACTAGTAATAACGGATGTTATAGGTTATTTTAACGACTAATGACGTTATGTCTATTTTGGCCTGGTCAACGAATTCTCATGTCTCAAATGTTAGTCAACGTTTAGTTTATGTTTTAAATGGCCACGTATGAAGTTGATGTTTAAAATGACCACAATTTGAAAGTTGACTAACAGAGTCGTTAGGGGTGATAACGGCCGTTAGAGGTTCCGTTAGCGACTGATAACGACATGTCTATTTTGGCCTGGTCAACGAATTTTCATGTCTCAAACGTTAGTCAACGTTTAGTTCATGTTTTAAATGGCCACATATGAAGTTGATGTCTCAAATGGCCACTTTTTGAAAGTTGGGGGATTAAATGACATTTTTCCCAAACCTAAATGGCTTATTTTTGTTGATAGGGAAAGGGAGACAAATGGGGACCAACGAGTTGAGGCAAGATTCTAATTAGGGAGGGTAAATCTGTCAAACCAATAGCCACACAAATCTTTATTTTTTATTTTTTTATTTTTTAAAGAGATTAATTGGTGACAAGGAATCTTTGGAATCTTACTCAGTCAAACAATGTAATAATGTAAGCAAGATTCTTATTATAATATATTTGTGTCCTAATAATTGAGTCTTGAGCTTTAGATGATTGATACTCAATCAGCTAAACTTAACCCAACTAATAACCATTATTCCAATCAAAGCATTTCAGAACTCTTTAAGATTCTCCTAACACTTAAGTTTAGTTAAATAGAAAAACAAAAACCGATTTGAGTAAATGATAAGAAGATTATCACAACAGCAAGAATGGAATTTGTGCAAAATCAAAATTCGATTCTGCAACTATGCTATGCAAGTGTATGGCTAGGGATATGAAATGTTATCCTGTCGTCGACCACATAAATATTTACAAACTCTAATTTAAACATAACATATATGTCAACATATTAATTCAAAACAAACTCTATATCTTATATAATTCAGTGGTTATTATTTGATATGTCAAGTAAAAATAATTATGAAATTATCTAAGGAAATATCTTAATACTATTTTTCAAAGATTCCAACTTTGTCAACCCCAAAAAGAAAACAAAGTGGAATCTCAAAGTATTTGATAAAATGTTAGACGACGTCATCCTATCTCTATTTAAACATTTGTCCTTTATCAGACGTAACCTTCATGAAAACCACTAAATTTGTTTTTTTTTTTTTTTTGGAAATCCCAATTACAAAAATTTATAACGGAAAGAAGAGAAAAAGTGTGATGATGATAAATTAATATGAAATCATTACTAACTATTGGCTCTAACCTGATTTCTTGCGTGGCTCCACAACGGTACCATGACCACGTGGTAAGAACACTCCGGTTCCACCCGACCCGGTTCTTGAACCCGACCCGTCAACGAACACCGCCTTCACGCCTGACCTGACTCTCTGGTGGTGGTGGAGGTGGTGGTAGTTCCTTGCTTTGTGTCCCAAAACGTCAGCGTTGCGTTGCCTCTCTTTCTCTTTCTCCTTTTTGATCTTCTGGAACTGTATAGAAAAACATTTTTAAAAAATATAAAACAACGGTGGAAACAAAACTAGATTTAATCTGAACCGTTGATATTATAACCGACGAATTTTTCTTAAAAAGATTCTGAGTAAAATAATAAATGATAAAACATGATGAGCTCACGTTTGCTTGAATGGATCGGATCTGGTCATCGATTAGAGCTTGTTTGGATTCAAAAGGGATCGTTACAGGTTTTGTATCAATCTTTGTCATGATTTTCTCCACCGTCGTCGCTGGAGTTAACGGCGGCGATGGTTCACGGGAAGGGGCAATTGGACTGCTCAAACCGGAAGCAAATGGTGACCAGAGAGTTGATTGCGGCGAACCAGAGCCACCACCACAAGACTGAAACAAAAAAGAATAAAGATTGAAAGATAGAAAAGAGAATCGAATCTGAAGAGTTAAAAAAGAGAGAGAGTTGGTGGTACCTTTTGATGCTTTTCATCGTCTTGAAGCATATAGTTAGTCATCTGGCGAGTCAATTCGGTGATGTACTCGTCTTCTTCGTCTTCTTTTTGTGCTTTTGGTGAATCAGGTTCGTCGGATACGAAGTCGGGTCGGAGAGAGCTTGTGGTTGGAGTGAAGAAAGTTGGCTCAGAAAAGGGCTTTGAAATAAAATCTATGTCGTGTAGTTCAGTAGATTCCATTTGATTATTCTTGTCTAGAAAACAAAGGAGAGATCTTTGGACAGACAGAGACAGAATAAAAACCAAAAGAAACAGAGGAAAACAGAGTGAAACAGAGCAAATCCGAAACAGAGGAAATCAAGAGCAGAGAAAAGAGAGAAGAGAGAAGTTGGTGTTAGTGGTGAAGAGTTAAAGATTTATAAAGAAGAAGACCGTACAGATGGACAGATTTAGCTGAAGGCGTTACGACAATATCACCTGCCAATTGTTGTGAGTTTGCGACTCACGAGAGAGATTAAGGAAAGCTATATATGTATACATATGTTTTTTTTTTGTTCAAAGGTATACATATATTATCTTTCCTTCTTTTTCTTTTTATGACAAACCTTTTTAAGGTGAATTTTGATTAATAAAATCTCTAAAAGCAATGTATTCAACATAAATTGATTTTTCTTCCATTTTATAGTTTGAATACTTATTATTTGACAATTCTAGATAGTAATAATGTTATTAGTCATGACCTATAAATAAAATGTTTTGTAATTTTAAAATTTGTCTTCTTTATTTTTTATTTTTCTCAAACAAAATTATTATTAGTTTCCCAAACAAACTTACCATCAAATAAATTTTTCTGGTAAAAATATTTTATGATAAACTTAAGGTAATTCCGACTAATTTCACATGTAAATAATTTTTCAGTAAAAACTTCTGCAAGCCCACAACAAAGTAAAACATTCGGACAGAAGCCCAGAAATCCAAATGACCCCAAAGTAAAACAACAAGAAAGTTGTTCCCAATCTTATTTATGGATTTCCTGTTGTTAAGCAGGTTTTGTTGCTTCTAGAATTAGATCATACGTGTTGAATTTTTTTTGTTATTTTTTATACTATTACACAATTTTACATGGTATTTCATAATTTATGTATGAAAGATGGCATATAGAAAACCAGACGTAATCAGTGATATGTAAATGTTTTTTTTTTAAAAATCGTCTAAAATCAACATCCCCTTTGTTTCACAAATCAATATATATCATTTAAAGGAAAACTACAAAAATGAAAAAATGTTTACAAAACCAACTAAGAAGATACATTGATAAAACTTAATATCAAATAGATTGAGAATTTAGAATGATTATCGTTTCCCAATGATGTTAAATACTTAGCGATGGAATGTATAAGAGCATCTCCATCAGTAGACATGATGAGAGTTTCTCAAAAAAAAAAAAAATTATTTAATTAATTTATTTGTTTTTTATTTTGTTTTAATAATTCAACCAGTAAATTTCTGACATGTGTGCAGAAACGTTTCTCAGAGTTTCTGGACAGAAAAACTGTGTCTTTCTCTTCATTTATTATTTTTTTTATTAATAAATTTTGGCCAGAAACAATCCTCCATCATACCGATAGAGGTGCTCTAAGTAGTATGTGTTATGGTGTATGCCCTCAAACTCTGGTAGCAAAAACAGAAAAATATGGTTATTCTTCTAACTTTTATTTAATGAAGATCTGCCAACTATAACCAGATCAAGACTAAATTAAGATTCCATTATCAACCATTACAAATACTATATAGTTCTTGATGAGGTAGTGATACGGAGTATAATATGTTGATTTAGATTATTTATTTGGGATTATTGTGGATTAAGTCAACAAATGCAACTTAGGATGAGTGATTAGGAGACAACATATATGTTTCTTCTTTTTATGCGATGTTTTGAAGTAACAAATGTTAGAGGGAAAGGTTGGTTCACCTATTAAGATCTGACCAACCATGAGTATGCATACTTTTTTCTTGGAATAACGGTATATATACTATAAATAGTCCCTACCACTAATTGCATTTCGCATTCAAATTCTAATGAGGAAAAAAAGTAGTATTGAATTGTATTTTGAATCTGCAACGTTTAAGTCGCCATTAATTTGTTTTTATTACAAGAAATTAGGTCTTATATCCCTTTATAGCAAAGCCTTTATCTAACAACCATTTACCATAGACGACCAAAAAACAACCATTTACCATATGGGGGGCTTTGGAGTATGGGATAATCAAACCTCTCTAATGTTGACATTTTTTCTGGATGAAGAAATTAAGATACTAATCTTATTAGAATTACTAGGACTCAGGACGCGGCGGTAGATAATTAAATGTTATAACTATTTATAAAATAAACAAAAAATTGTAATTGTTCGTGAAATAAGATAAATATATAAACCAAAGGTTGCAATTGTTCGTAAAATAAACTAAATATTGCAATGATTCGAATAAGCGGTTTCAACTGTTTATGAAGAGTTACAATAAAAAACGCAACCCTAGAAAATATTCGGAATGCAATTTATAAAAAAAAACATAACAGTAAAATATATTTTAATTAATAAAAATATTAGCGAAAAGTTACGATAAAAAGATGCAACCGTTCAGATGTGCAAATGGTATTTATTAGATTGCTATTATATATAGATTTTGAAGGGACAGCCGTAGAAAAATACATGAAGTGTATAACATAAGAGATACGCTACGAAGTCCTCCTACCTTCTTTAAATAACCTTTACATTTTAAATGATGCGATCAAAAATGTCGTTGTAGTATAGTGGTAAGTATTCCCGCCTGTCACGCGGGTGACCCGGGTTCGATCCCCGGCAACGGCGTCTGTTTTTTTTTGCATTTCAACTGTAAACGTCGTCGTTTTAAAATAACCCTACAACATCAACCGTCCTAGCGTTTTTCCTCGCTTGAGACGGCACGCAATCCATCTCTCAGCATGTGCATATGACTTAAAGAACACGATATCTTAATCTAATCGAAGTCTCTTAGTCAACCTTTTTTTCAAGATTCAATCGACTGACGACATTTAATTATTTCTTTTCTTTAACTTCAAAGATTAAATCTTTTTGAGTTTCAAGATTCGATCTATCACTTTCCATGGCTAGAGAAAACCAATTGATGAGCTTCTCATTCAGTTTCAGATATCTCTGTCACTTTGCTCTACTCCTCTCTCTCCTCTCATTCGTCTCTTTTCTCTTCAGACACAACACATCACTCTGTTCTTGCCTTTACGATCACAACCCCAAAGCTAACACATTCGATCACTACCACCATAACAATGAAACCATTGATCTTCTTAGATTTTCTTCTGCTTGGAACCATCTCACTTTCCCTTCTAAACCCAAGAAGACTCTCAAGATCGCTGTGGTGGTCAAGAAATGGCCGAGGAAATCGCAAGCTGGTGGGCTCGAGCGACACGCGCTTACTTTGCACCTTGCTCTAGCTAATCGCGGCCATGAGGTTCATGTTTTCACAGCTGCTTCTCCGTCGTTCCCTGAGTATCAGCTGAAAAATCTACTGTTTCATCTCTCCGAGCCAACCGCTGCTGGATATCTCGATCAAGCTTCTGTCTCGCTACAGCTTCAGGTAAACAGAGAATTGAAACGGTTGCTGCGTTTGCAAAGCGTTTGCTGGTTAGACGCTGCTATTTTGCGTTTTCTCCGGTTTGCACTTTAGTGCATCTGCTGAAAGTTTTTTTTAATAATTAATCAGAAATTGCTTAAAAAATTTCGAAATTCTACTCAATATTTTGTTTAGATTAACTTAAGATTAATAAATATGTTGGTTATCAATAAAAAAAGAGTAATAAATATGGTAATATCACACTTTAATATTTTCAAATCGTTTTTTTTTTTGTATTGAATATTTGGTATTGTATAATAATTACTCCCCTGTTCTTAATTAATCCATTTTGTTCAAAAAAATAATTGTTCAAATTTTTTTTGAAGGCTTATCTGATTTTTTTATTAATTAATAATAATAAATTTTCAAAATTTGAAAATGATTGAATATTATTGGTTTAGATTGTAGAAAATTGTTAATAATTTTTATGTGTTTCTAATCAAATTTTGATTTTTTATAACATATGTGAAATTTTACTTGGTTATAAACTTATAATATTTTAGTCAACTGTTGACTAAATAGGCAAGGGCTCATGATTAGTCAATGGCCAGTGTCTGGATTAAAGTTGAAGAAACGAATTTAACTGACGAGACTTTTCCGGAAATCGCAGACGCAGAACGCAAGTGGAAGACCATTTGACGTGATTCACACAGAGAGCGTCGGACTTCTCCACACAAGAGCTAAGAACCTCCGTAACGTGGTCGCGTCTTGGCATGGAATCGCTTACGAGACTTTTCACTCCGACATCATCCAAGAACTCCTCCGTCAAGCAGACATCGCCGCCGCCGCCGCAGCTGGAACCGAAGAAGAACAGCCACCGCCTTCATCTCCAGCTCTGACGGAGCGAGCGAAGAGAGTCGTCGAGGAAGTCAAATTCTTCCAACGCTACGCTCACCACGTGGCAACTAGCGATCATTGTGGTGACGTACTCAAGAGGATTTACATGATTCCGGAGGAACGTGTCCACATCATTCTAAACGGCGTCGACGAGAACGTTTTCAAACCGGACGTTTCAAAACGTGAGAGCTTCAGAGAGAAATATGGCGTTAGAAGCGGCAAGAACAAGAAACCTCCTCTGGTTTTGGGAATTGCAGGGAGGTTAGTGAGAGATAAAGGTCATCCTTTGATGTTCGCAGCTTTGAAACGAGTGTTTGAAGAAAGCAAGGAGGCACGTGAAAACGTTGTCGTTTTAGTAGCTGGAGATGGTCCATGGGGAAACAGATATAGAGACCTCGGGTCTAATAATGTGATTGTTCTTGGACCATTGGATCAAGAAAGGCTAGCGGAATTCTACAACGCGATCGATGTGTTTGTGAATCCGACTCTTCGAGCTCAAGGGCTCGATCACACTCTTTTGGAAGCCATGGTTTCAGGCAAACCTGTCTTAGCTACTAGGCTAGCGAGTATCACTGGGTCAGTAGTTGTCGGTCCACATTTGGGATATACTTTCTCACCAAATGTTGAGTCTCTTAGCGAGGCGATTTCACGGGTTGTTAGCGATGGAACTGAGGAATTGCAAAGGAAAGGCAAGGAAGCGCGTGAACGGTCATTGAGGCTTTTCACGGCGAATAAAATGGCTGATTCATATGAAAGGTTTTTTCTTTGCATTTCGGATCAGAGCTTTTGTACGTTACAAGCTTCAAACATATGAGCGATAACGCTAATATAGTTAAAACTCAAAAACATATGGATTTGGATTTGGATTGTTTGGTTTCATGTTAATGTTTAGTTGGTTTCATCACGTTTTTGCGTTTGGTAAAAAGGCTAATGAATTCATTATTTTGTTGGGCATGGGACAGAGAAAAACAGAGTAAATATTGATACAGTTGATTGTAACAAGTACTAGACAAATCTATTTGATACACTATTACTAGGAGATTTCTTTGATATTATTACTTAATCTTGAAATCTCCTAATAACTTTTTTTCCTGCATAAACTTATTTATACAAAGTCTTGGTTAAGTAGATATTACTACTTGGCTTGAGCTTCATGGGTTCCTGGAGAGATTTACTAAGAAACTAAAGGAAGTGGTTCTTTAGTAATAAAGAGAACCTTGCCACCAGTTTCCTCTTGAAACATCTTGCGAGTTCTGTCCATTAGCATCGTCTTCTCCGCTTCTTCTACGCTCATTTTTAACCTGAAATATGTTGTTTCTAATCAGTCGAGTCCTCTGTTTTTGGAAATGATTAGCAAAACATACATAAGTTACGAAGACTCACTGCAGGGTAAGTTTGGTTGGTGGTGGATCGAGAGTATACGTCTTGACCACCGTAGTAAAGAGAAGAGCTTAGATGACATGGCTCAACTCTGTCTTCTTGCGCATTTAAAGATTCTCTACGTTGAGCTGTGTGAACAAAAACATCTTCATTAGAAAAACAGAGCATTCTTGATTCAAGAAAAACAAACTAAGTGAATAAAGAAGAGAAGGAAATTGCATAAACCAAAGTGTTTTTTTCACTGACCTTGTGAGCCATGTTTGGAGTTTGAACCATCTCTTCCAGAACCCTGAAAATCAAATCAAGAAACCAAAGATTAACCCTCAAGAATCAACCAAATCACTCAAGAACACAAAATTTAACGAAAAAGGAAAGTAATAAAACCTTGGAGGGATGAGGGAAAATGGTGGAGAAGATGCCGGAGGAAGAAGATGGTGGCGAAGGATCTTTGGAACCGAAGAGTTCGGCTGTGAAAGAAGAAGAAGTAGAAGAAGATGAGCCAACTCGTCCTTTACCCTCCATTTAGTAACTTCAAAAACTCACACTCTAATCTGATTCTCTTTGATTCTTCTTCCGTAAGAGACTTAGAATAGTTCTGTAGGTTGTTTGTAATGACAATAAGATCTCAATGGGGGTATTTATACATAATGCTAAAAGGGATGAGGTTATGGAGATAGTGGAGCCATCATCATCATGATCATCCTCATCATCATCCATCAAGAGAAAGAAGCTTATTATGGGTATGTTCTCTCTTCTTGATGCTGAAAAGACTATTGCTTCTTTTTTCCATTTTTTAAAAGTTCTCAATTTTATTTATTTTATTTTCATTGTTACTTTGTTAGAGAAATTTAGAAGCTTCGCTATCGCTTTTCTTTGCCATTCTTATTGGTTAGTGTTTATTCTTTTTAAACTTGTAACGATTTATTTCAGTTTTTCCACTATATATTTTTGATAGTGTAAACCTAAAGACAAATTTGGATTCTTTCTCTATTCCGGATAGAGACACAAACAGTGAGATTCTTCAATGACTTCAATGTTCAATGTCTCTAGTTGTGATAACAAAAAGAGAGAACTTAAGAGGATAAGTCCGGCGCCGGATCTCAGGTCGAACCAATGATATGTTGCCACGTGTCATTCCGAGGATAAGTTGCCGACCTTTCTTGATCACATAGAGCCAAAGTGGGAAAGAGAACCGAAGAAGTACTTGAGCTTCTTTAAATCGCACGCATTCATGTGATCCGTTTTTTAGATCTACAATTGTTTCCTTTATTTTTTTAAACTAATTTAAAAAGTAATATGCCAAAATAAATATACTACTATATGACTTTATATCTATAAATAAATTTTTGTAAGAAAAGAACATTTGATCAAAGACGAGAAGATGAGGTCCACAAAATTCTCCCACTTGCTGAAGTCTATTCGTTTTCTTCTTCTTTATCTTCAAGGTTCACAAATCAATCATTCATCTTTTAAAAAAAAATTGTAATGAAAAAATATCTTGAAACCTTAATAACAATGAAAATAAATCAATGTACTTTTTTTAGTTTCATGTATATTAAATTTCTAGTGATCTTCTTTGGTAGATCAACCCAAATTTAAAGCCTGTGATAGAAAGAAACGTCGGTTAAGAAAAAATGTTTAACCAAAATTGATCAAAAATGTTTATTGATAGGTTGATTCGGATAAACCAAAATGTCTTCGCTTAAAAGTTAAACCGCAACAAAAAAACAGACTTATAAATTTTATAAGTTTTTTATTTGGTTTAGTTGATTATATAATTTCTATACATTATTAGACGATAATAACATCAAAAATTAGAATTCACATCTATATAAATGCGAAAGAACTGAAGAAAACTAGTGTGAAAGCATGAACAACTAAAAATTGTGAAAGAACTATAGATGTCTTACTCGCAAAGTATCACGTGATGATGATACACGTTGTTTACACGTTGTTCGGAACAAGAGATTCCCATTCGGGGGAATAAAACTCAAAACTATTTCTCATCATATATAATATATAAATTGGAGACCAAAAATTCTAGCTGCCTTGAAAAAATGGTACATGTATGGTCCCTTTGCGTATATTTAAAAGCATCATAAAAATACCAATATAATTAATTAATTATGGACATTAATGCATGTACTTACTCAAATCTATATATTCACATAAGTATTGACATTTGTAAGTTTATATTTTCGTAGAGTGTCAATACCTAAAAGCATGCAATGACTGAGAACTGTTGTCCATTTTAGATAAGAGATAGATTCTCATGTGAGAGATTCTTCTCATTGGTCCCTATTTTACTTCCGAACAGAAGTCAATAATATTTTATGTATGTGTATGTATGATGGTATTTATGTGTGTTTTTGTCGACGTATATGTATGTGTAAAGTATAATATATGTAATATATATGCCTTTCGTTTTTGACTTTTTCATAGGGAGAAAAGTAAAAAAAAATACATACTTAGCAAAAAAAAAATATACATAAGAGTTTACCCGTTATAAATAACATTTCAAGTTGTATATGATCATGAAATTTACAGTAAATAACTAATTTCTGCGCATTACAGGTTACATTTGATATTGTCTCAAAAACTTAACGTCTACATAAGAAAACTATCCAAATAGTGGATATCCAACCAAAGTACATGCTTTCACGTTTTCCGTGTTCGAAACTACATGTAACGTAAACACTAATATATATTCAAGTTTAATCACACTTTGATCGTGGTGTAGAAAAATATGATTTTAAATCTCTGGATTTACTACTACGCCACCAATCATCACTTGTCCTGAGATCAATTAAAAACTTTGACATGTTAATCACATTTCCATTATAATATATTTCTAAAAAAGGATCGAGCCAAATATATGGATCAATAATGAAAGATACTATAGTTTGATGCTTGATTGGGATTAAGATTACACAATATGCCATATGCGTTAGGGATAAGTTCTTAATATATAGTACTATTTAGTTAAGACATCGAAGAAGAAAGGAATGTTATCTTTTCATTTTGGTAAACAAAGGAATGATATCTTAATGAATAGAATGGAAAATATTCTCTTAACTTTAATATGCAGATTTTGTTTGACAACTTTAAATGTAGATTAGGCTGCCAATTATTAAACATGCTTATTTCCTTCTATGCGAGAACAAGAATTGTCAAAGACTTTTTACCTTGCTAGCATCTTCTTTTGAGTTTTATATGGACTTTGACCATTAATTTTAGAGAAAAATCTCTAGAATGCCGCACATAAGAAAGAACAATACTCATGATAGATCAATCTCTTTCTTTTTTTATGGGGCCAACTTCCTATTATGGTTTCAAAATTGAGAATTGAGATCCTCCAAATACAAACATAAAGATAGCATAAAGATGGGGTTTCAATATGACTACAAAAAAACAGAAGAAAATAAGCGTGAGCGGCAGGATTCAAACCTACGCAGGCAAAGCTCACATGATTTCTAGTCTTTTGACACTAACAAAAGTTAATCTAGTAGGAAATTGCACATCATGTAAATTTACAAAGAAAAGCCCTTCAAAATTGGAGAGGGCAGAAGATATGAACTTTGAGTTTTTGTAAGAATCAAAGAATGTGGTCCACTTCTGACAAATATGAAGCATCGGAACAGAAGTAATATAAAAGAAGACTCTCTGCAAGTCTTCTTGTGATGTAACAGTTACCATAGCACATTCTGAATCTTGATTGGATCAAAGTCAAAGACTTCCCCACTTGATATTCTTCCCAGCAGCACAATCACACAAGTTCACAAAATGGAAAAACTTCAAATCTTGAATCTCAGCATCTGAAAAAAGATCTCTTTAAGCATGTTTGGACGACTCTGTTTTTGAGACTAATTAGGTATAACCGTATAAGTTAGGGAATCTGAAAAGTGGTTTTGTTTATTCATTTCTTCCTACAACCGCATTGGGATGTCTCAATTACTTTCAAAATTTAAGAATCACATGTATCACAAAATTATATCCATGTGAACGAAGAGTTATAGACAGAAACAACCAAAGATTTGATCTATAAGCTTGAGCAGATCAAATTATTACTTCGAGCATACAGTTTACTTGACAGTCAAAATATCACTCAAAGCAATTCCTCAGAGTTTACATAATCTATACTAGTATTTTTGCAACACTTTGGTGACGGATGGGTAAAAATACTTCCGGGTATATCGGATACCCGACCCATTTTTAAAATTCTTTCACAAAAAATTTGTTGGGTCGGGTTATATTTAACCCAACTCATACACCGGATATTCCATATTTAATAATTTAGATATTTAGAAGATTTGATTAAGATTTATAATTATGATTCTCCTATCATCTTTGCTTGATTTGTTTTTAACTGTTTTGAATCATCATATAATACATAAAGTAAAAAAAAATCAATTTTTTTCTGCATATACTGTGATTCGAAATTTTAAAAACGGATATATATTATCCAATTGACGAAAATGTGTGTTCAACGTTCTACATCGATTAAAATATTTAGATAATGATTCAGAATCATATAATAAATAAAAACATTAATAAAATAAATGAGTTTTTTTGCCGGACGGGTTTGGCGCGACGGGTTTTTGAATCAACAATAATAAAAATATTAAAATATCATTAATCCACCGCTTCAATACGGATTAAATTCTTTTTTTTAATACCACAAATATTAGACATATTAAATCAGTCTCATTTAGAAAAGATTGTATTAAACCAAAAATTGTCCCGTGGTATAATGTCTGGTGGTCTTAGAAGATGATATGATTTATAAACTTTTATATATAATAAATAATCATTAAATTTTAAAATAAAAACAAATCACGGGACGGGTTAAGAAATTACGGAACAGGTTATATTTCGGAAAGGATTTATATGGCGGACAAATTTGAATCAATATTTATATACCGCTTTAATACATGTTAAATCTTTCGTTTATTAATAATTGTCTCGTGGACTCGTGGTATACCGTTAGTTAATAACAATTATAAACTATAATATAAATAAATATGTTATAAGAAGATACAATTTACAAAATATTTTAATACTAACTTTAAAATTAAATTATCCCGCAGTATACTGCGGCTTAAAATCTAGTTACATGCAAAAACACTTGCATTCTCCGAAGTCAACCCTAATTTAAAAGCGAGATTGAACAATGAACATTGCTGTAATAGTCAATATATTTTGTTCTTACCTATACCAAATGTAAGGACCGAGACATCATTTGGGCCTGTGCACAATAAAGCCCAGTCAACAGAAGTCATGGGCCAGCGAAAACAGACAAAGCACATTCACTCTCTTCACTCTGCAGTCAAACAGGGCACCTTGATAAGGCCTGACATTTAGTTTGCAGTGAATCGTGTGTGAAACATCATAGAGCAATAAAATAACGTAAACAAGAAACGTTACAACGACAATAAAGATTTATTTGTGATGCTCACCTAAAAGTATAATAAAAGATTTATTTGTGATGACGATGGTGAATTGCTCATGCCTCATCAACAACCATTATGTAAACAACAATTGGACTTCTCACGTTATGGGTACCGTCAGACCAAATTAGATTTGCAGACGAAGGGACTTCCGAGTCGACGTTGAAAGTGCAGATATTGTTGGAACACTATTGAAGCTGTTGGAACAAGATCGAGATTGAGTCTTTCTAGCGTGAAAGCAAAAAAGGCCACGTGGGTCGTGGGCCATTGTTCAAGTTAAGCCTAATTGCTTGTAGAGACTTGAAGTGTGGCTTAAGTCGTCTAGGGTTATTGGCACTTGATATAAATACCAAGAGACGGCAACATGAAGACTTGCGCGTCTAGGGTTTATCGAGAGAGGCACACATGTTTGTGACGTTGCCCCATCAACAAGATAGAGAGATCTTTTGATGGTTTTGTTGAGAAGCTATACTCGTCGGAAAAGACAATAGGAGTAGTAGTTTTCTTTCATTGTAATTCTAGAAAAGAGTGGTGGATACCATATAGAAATTGTAGGTTGCGGCCTTTTCTAGTGAATGGTTTCTGGACTTGGTCCCGGGGATGTAGGTTAACCGAACCCCGTTAACAAATCTCTTGTGTCTCATTTACTTTATGCACATACGAACTCGTTACACTCTCTCATCATACAAACGTATAGATCTAGCACACATATAGTAATTTCAATTGGTATCAGAGCGGGAAACCGACCTGAGATTATTGTCTCTAACAGGTTAGATCCTGGATGTGTGGCTAGATGAGAAAGAAGAG